GCTGGCCCTGAAAAACGTCGCATTGCAATCTTCTTCTGTCTTCGATGTCGTACCGGATACACTCTGAACGGATGTCAGGTTTTGATTGAAGAATGTATCGGAGTCAAAGAAGGTGTTCAGCGAGTCGTCTGGGCCTGGCCCGCCAAGATAAGGATTGTCGAAGTAGTTGGTGTATGGCATGGTGTTTTGTGGTGGAGAATGTTCGGTATGTTCGGTCTTGGTTCCCTGCGCATCACTCGGGAAGTTCATTCAGACTGTGTCGACTCGTGTATCGGTGGACGTGTTCGTTGCTGTTTGGCGGTTGATGTATCGGTGTCGCTGGGGATGACGAAAGGCCTGGTATTATAAGAATACGAGGACGTAATTGTATCGACGATTCGAGAACTGCACACCCAACAGAGTAGGTAATAGGTCCTCGTGACCTGCTGGGAATCCACCACTAAGGTTGATCAGGTTCCGGTGTAGTGGCTCAGTACAGTCAAGATGCTTCCAGTAGCTGTACGGTAAACCCAAAATCGCAAGTTAGTTGTGGATCCGTCCTACCCTCAACCATTATTGGCACGGCTAAGTAAGCCTTCCGCTTCCGCGAGTTTCACTGAAACGTCTGCTACTCATTCAAAGGGTCGAGTTTTTACAATGACTGTAAACGTCGAACGATAAGCACCTCATCGGCACTGTCCGGTAGGAGCAGCATCTCGTGTAGTCCCGGGACGAGCTCCACTACGCCGAAAGTCGGTTTCCGCACATGCTCCGATCCCGAGTTTCCGATATGACTCTGAAGCCGCATTGCAGACTGCGATTTTCGTTTACGTGCGTATAACCTAATTTACCCTGTTGATCCTGGTAAGGCCGCGAATTGCGGTCTCAGAATGTACTCAACAAAGCCATGATGCAGGATCTGATTTGCTTTCGCTTGTACGCGGCTAACTCGGGACGGATCGTATAAACTATCTGCGATGCCGGATGGCTTCCTCACGGTATGATTACTGGCTTGCTTTATTAGTAGATGTTTTGCGGTACCCCGATCGCAACGTAAATGACAGTAAAAGATCCCTAAAGCCTCATTCTTGCCGACGGTAGATTCCCGGATGCATGCGGATGGAACGCGTTGCATCTAGATACAACAAGTGAGTTCGCTTACCCCTTGGTATCGCATCCTTCCAAGGTTGTGCTGCCTGATGATGGTAGAGGTTTTCTCCGAGCACCTGTCATGGTACCACATCTAGGTATCGGCGTGCGCCAACAGGCATGTCCGTTGTTGTAGTAATCGAGGGAAATAGCCCGGGCTTAACGAGAGAGGCTGAAAAAGTCGAGAAGTCTTTGCGGCGCATGTGGCTATGTTGAGGTTGGTGCAAGGCAGCTCGTGAGAGTGGCGTGATACTTGTCGGCAAGGCCCGAAGTAGTAAGTCTAGCCGGCAAGGATATCCACAACTCGTGGCCATCGCGTTTTTCTGTGACCTTGGCGAGTGCAGCGTGAAGAATAGTAATCCTGCACGAGGCTCCTCCTGGGTCCTCCATAGAAGCCAAAGACATGTACAGACTGACGAGCAGCAACATTATCTCGCAGCCGAAGTTGTAGCTACCATGGCAAAGGAAGAGTATGGCAGCAGTGCTTTGGATATCACGTCCAATAATAGACATGGAAGATAGTGTATGTTTCTTCCAGTCATAAAGGTAATGTTGCTGCCTACAAACATGGTATGTTTGTTGGTTGTAGAGAATCGCGATTTATTGAGGTCAGCGTTCCTCAACCCCGCTACCCCTCAACGCGCGAACTGAAGCTTTAAGCTCCCTGCCTCCGCCATGACAACACTAATAACATCAACAACGCCTGATCGCGTCAAGACACGCTTCCTCATCATCTCAGATACACATTCCAAATCTCCTTCCGACAATATTGCAGATGACGAGGCTGCCTTCCGCCCGCCACTGCCCAAGGCAGATGTGCTTCTTCACTGCGGCGACCTGACCATGATCGGTCATCTGGAAGAATATGAAAAGACTTTGGACATGCTGGAAAGCATCGATGCGGGGTTGAAGCTCGTCATAGCTGGAAATCACGACATCACTCTGGATGAAGAGTATTATGCCCGAAAAGGCGAATACATGCACAGAGGAGACAGATACGATAAAGATCTACCTGCCAAAGCAAGAGAGATGTGGAAGGGTGAGCGGGCTAGAAGAGCTGGTGTGACGTACCTGGAAGAAGGAACGCATACATTCCAGCTCCAAAACGGGGCCAACCTAAGGGTACGCGCATTGCTAGACAGTCGGCAACTCCATTCGAAGCTAACAGCGTCCAGGTCTACGCGTCTCCGTACCAACCGGAATTCTGCGACTATGCCTTCCCCTATTTCCGCAACGAAGACCGCTACAACCCTCCCCACCAATGCACACCGAACGTTAAACCTATCGCCGAGAACCCCGTCCCAGACTTCCCAAACGTCGATGTCATGATGACCCACGGACCGCCTATGGGTGTCATGGACGCGACAACGTCAGGACAGCACGTCGGTTGCGACCACCTACTTCGCGCTGCTCGACGCTGCAAACCTAGGCTTCATTGCTTTGGGCATATACATGAGGGATGGGGCGCGCAGAAAGTGCGGTGGAACAACAACGGTCAGCTGGATGTTAGGATTGAAGAGCACGTCGAAGATGTCGAAAGCGTGCCAGTCGATCACGATGCGAACAGAGAGAGGAGGTCGGCAGCTGTTGATATCGGCGAGGGCAGCGATACTGCGGTTGAGTTTGGGCGAGAGACTCTGATGGTCAACGCGAGTATCATGAGCGTAACGTATAAGCCGTGGAACGCGCCTTGGCTTGTGGACATGGACCTCGAAATGGCAAACTAATTCGGAATGACTATACGAAGAAGACAGCAGAGAGACCCAAGAGCGCAACTAGCTCAAGGAGTGGGCATCTATGAGACGAACCAATCCGTAGGCTCGCGCGATACGATTATCGCGATCACCAAAGAACGATCGATCGATACCTCAGCAGCCGGGTAAAACCTATGAATAATTTACCCTGCGACAACCTTCTACGCATCCTCTCACAGTCTTTACATTGGGTCTTGCGTTGGTCACAACTTGTATCTACAGAAGGACTGCTAGATGGAGTTGAGTCAGGATCGGGCGAAGACTCCCGGGCACATCTTGATGTATATAACCCATGAGTTGACGCCTCGTAAATGTGATGAACTAGTAAAGACCCCACCAAATCGAGCCGGCGATCAAAACGTGACAACGCGTGCGGGTGGATCTATTATATCAGTGATGCAATCATGACCTGCATCATTCTCAACCCTCTTCGACGCGTTTGAATCGCGATTCTGCGTGCATACCCCTCAGTCGACTTCTGATTTTCCTTTTACTTGTTCCACTTAATTTCTGGTCTTTCAATTCTGAGATTTCGTTTTCGCCATGTCGCTCAAAATCCCACACGTCACTTTGACGCGCTTTGCAACGCGGTGCTCATACCGTGACGTCAGACCGTTTACCCGCTATATCACAACTTCCGCAGCACGACCTCTCCCCTCTTCAATCTCTGCACTCTCAAATCGTATGCAATCAATTGAACGCACGAAACAAATCACGAATCAATTCCAACCACAGAATCAACAGCGCAACTACGCAAACATGGCTCCCACCAACAATGCCGAACTCCAGATGGGCCAGGTCTTCGATGTCAAGGACAAGGTCGTTCTAGTCACCGGTGGTGGCTCTGGAATCGGTCTCATGATCACACAAACTCTTGCTGTCAACGGTGCCAAGGTTTACATTGTTGGACGGACGGAGGAGAAGCTCGAGAAGGTTGTTGAGGTGCATGGTCAGAACATTGCAGGACAGGTAAGTGTTCGACACGATCAAAATCATGAATATAGACTAACAGTCACTAGATCATTCCCATCGTCGGAGACTGCAGCACCAAGGACGGCGTATCGTAAGTCACCCGTGTCATTCGATCGAGAACGGCGTCTAACTACCTCACAGCAAGATTAAGAAGGAGATCGAATCAAAGGAGAAGTGCCTATGCGTCCTTGGTAAGCTATCCAACACCCATTACTATCTCGTACAACGCCAACTAACACTCCCAGTCAACAACGCTGGTATCGCCCCAGGCAAGACCGAAGTAAAAGGCAGCGCCGAAGACCTCGTCTCCAAGCTCTTCGACGGCACAACCGAGCAAGAATGGCTCGACGTCTACCAGACCAACGTCGTCGGCCCCTTCCTCATGTCCACCGCCTTCCTCCCTCTCCTCCAAAAGTCCACCGAGACACACCCCGGCTACTCTGGCACCATCATTAACATCTCCTCCATCTCCGGTCACATCAAGATCTCGCAAGGTCACTTCGCGTACAACTCCAGCAAAGGCGCTGCGATACACCTCAACAAGTTGCTTGCGAGCGAGATTGCGAAGAACGGGATCAAGGTCAGGGTCAACTCGATTGCGCCGGGAGTCTTCCCTTCAGAGATGACGACCCAAGAGAGCAGAGACGACAACCAGAAGAGCGAGATGCCTAAGGAGCACAAGGAGGGTCTGCCGGCTCAGAGGCCTGGAAAGGATCAGGATATGGCTGCGGCTATCTTGTTTGCTGTTGGTTGCCAATATCTTAACTGTCAAACTGTTACCGTTGACGGTGGCTACGCTATTCAGGTCGGTAACTAAGCGTGCTGCTGGGGTTTTCTCTTCTCACGATCCCTGTTACTTTGCTCGAAGATGAGCTTTACGATAATGTCCAAATGGATTAATTGAGCATTTGATTGACTCATCATGATGGATTACTTACTCCACTGCAACCAATCGTCACCATGCTTGCTCTTCTTAATTGCTTCTCCCAACACCCAACCGGGCAGATCAGGTAGTCTTTGTTTCCCAATATCACCAGCCTCTTCAACCGTCATGTCCAAACCGATCTCTCTACTCCAATTCAGAACATTCTGCATATGCGCCGCAGTTATCTTGAAAAGGCTCTTGTTACCCGCGCTTAGAGTAGGATGTTTCGCTTGGTCGGATGTCTCGATCATGCTGCCATTAATGTCTCTACCGAGGCATACGCGCTGGAACCTGAGGACTGCTTTGTAGAGCTCCTCGATTGCGAAGTTATCTGTGAAAGTTTTAGGGTCATTTCCAACTATGCGGGAGGACATCGTGGAGTAGGGGGTGGTGGGCAGATCTGGTACGTTCGCTAGCAATTTATACGGCGTGTGCTTGCTCGCATCTTCTAGTGCGCAAGCGTATGTACTGTCTCATGACTGAATGTTTGCGCTCTAACAATGTGAGAAAGCGCCATCTAGTCGCTGCACGAGTGTTTGTTCAAGTTAAAATCAATTCGTGCCCTTTTGTCTTCCCCAGCTCAGCCATCATTTCCTCACCGTAATCTCCTCTAAACACCCAAGATGAGCAGCCCCGGTCCTCTGGAAAAGCTCTACTTTCACGGCTGCTTCCTCGATCCGTTCTTTTCCCTCACCACCGAAGCCGAAAGAATGGACTGTCTTACCGGAAACGTGATGAGCCCGCTAAAAGATATGAAGTATGTTTACCTGGGTACGTGGGGTAAAGACAAGTTCAGAACGCTCGACGAGGAGCAAAAGCGACACTTCAAACGCTGTATGAGCAAGATCACGGCGTATCTGGAAGAAATGAATGAATGGGTCGATGAGATCGAGGTGGAACTTGAGGAGAAGGCTGGAATACGGCGATGGGATTGCAAGGTGGAAAAGTAGGATTGTTATTCACAACATCCACTATGTAAAAAGAAATGTAAACGCCAGCCCAGGCGCCATGCAAAGATGCAACATCCACTCATTAACTTCATCAAAATCCTCTTGATACATCTTACAACTTGGCCTTTGGCCACTGGTCCATCAAATCCGTCATCTCGAACCTAGGCCAGTCGGGGTTGAGGCTAGGCGCCGGCCTCTCGCGATCCCATGCCCACTTCTCTTTGAGCGCTGGTTCCAGCTCGTCTTCCAGCATCTGCACGACGTATTTGCCGAGAACAGGGAAGAACTTGTAGCCGTGGAAGGAGCCGCATGTGGCGACGTAGAGGCCCTTGGCGCCGGCGTGCGGCGAGATGATGAAGTCGGATGATGTTGTGAATGCGTCCCTGAAAGATGTTAGTAGTGTTCGAGCAAGAGATATGTGAGTGTAGAACTTACCAGCAAATGCGATGCTTCTCCATCTTCCAATTCGCGCCCTTCTTCCCGTAAAACACATCATTCGCGTGATCGATATCCAGCTTCAACGGACCAGGCACATCCCACTGGTTATAATCCTTTCCAGACGGCGGCGCAGAAACGAAGCGACCGGGTAGTACTTCATGTGTATGCTTGAAGATCTTCTCACCCCACCACTTGAGCTCGCGGTCCTTGGTTGGCGGTAAGCTGCCGATGAAGGGTCCGTATGCGGCGGTGTAGCCCTGGACACCAACGGGCATGTCCTTGAACTTCTCGTACGACTTCTCGTCTAGAGTCGTCATGCCGGTTGTGATACCACCAGCGACAATTCTTGAGCCAGAACGCAGGTTGGGGTTGCCGCTTTTCTGGGCGGCTTGCTCGAGGAGCTTGGCTGTGTAGGCGCCGGTTGAGAGGATGGTGTGCGTGGCTTTGATGGTGCTGCCTTGCTCGGTGTTGACGCCTGTGCATCGACCGGTGCTGTCGATGTCTAGGTCCTTGACCTTCTCGGTGATGTACTTGACACCCTTTGCGATCGACCACTTGGTAACTGCTCTTAGCGCGTCACCAGCCTGTGCCCAGCCACTCGTCTTGTTGACGAGTACACTCTTTGCGCCGTCGTAGTTTGCATCCTCGAAAAGTCCGCCGAATAACTTCTTCGCCTCCTCAATGGTGACTGATTGCAGGTCTGCTTCGCGTCCAAGCTTCTTGTAGTTGTCGATGACTTCTTGTGCGTAGTCTGAACGGCAAACCCAGAAGATACCAGTCTCGTGGAAGTACGGCTGCCATAATGGGTCCTCCTTGAAAACATCTTGCGCCTCGAGAGCAAGTCTGCAGTAGATGACATCGTCGTAGTCGGCGCGTACGACCTTGTTCCAGTCCCATGAAGCCGCTACGCGGTTATCGGCGTCCCAAGCATCCTGGTCGACAACGGTAACTTGTCGGTCTGGGTACTTTTTGATAAGGTGGTAAGCAGTCGAAATGCCGAAGACGCCGGCGCCAACGACGAGGTATGAGGGCTTGCTCGACGACATGTTGTTCAGTAACCAGGGCTTATCGTCGCAGAGCATAGAAGTGAGAGAGGTTTGATGCAGCGATGACCATCCAAGACCATCGCATTGCGTATTTATATCATCACGCACTACTACTATCACTCGCATCGCAAGCGGCTAGTGAGTAAAGTGGGCCGAAAGCGGCCATGTCGTTGTGGTCGCTGTAGACTAGGCGCGGGGCATTCGTGGAGGTTGTTTCCTCATCGAGCAAGATTTTGCGACGGGCAAGCTCCGTCGCTTTTCCCGATGCCCTCTACGCCGGCTGCCATGGCTCCAATTGGATATGGCTCGTGATTAATCATCTGCCTATCTGCTGATATCGACGTCTGAAGCGTTGCGCAGTCGTCACCGACGGTTCCGATTATCGTGGCCGTTGGAAAGGTCGCCGCATCTAAGCGAGATGGCGGCCGTAAAGTGCTAACCCGATTCAGCTATGCGGCGCGATGAGTGAATCTGGAGTGCAGACTGACACCACGTTGAGCTGTTGCAATCTGGTAATGTTAGAAGAAAAACAAGATGATAGATACCTGATTTACCATGTTCTGGTCAATTCAGGATGTACGTGTACTCGCCACGTGGAGCTGTATCAAGCTTGGCAGCCACCGCGAGCTTGTGCTATCTCGGAACACCATCACTATAGTCATACTATTCGTAAATTCCTTGAGGTAGAGCTTTGCATGTTTCATGAATATGAGGCGCTTGGGTCGTCATGTGCTAGCATCACGCGTCACTGTAGAGCGGCACCATTGAACCTATCGCTTCCATGCGAACTACACGACATCTCAAATTCCTGAAAGGTACATATTCATCCATGTTACATGAGATTCGTATCATGCATGCAAGGCTAAGACAGCTGAAGAAAACTGTGGGCATCCTGGCCAGTGACAAGCGGCGCCAGCGCATCATGGGCGAACAAGTCAACCACAACCAGGCTCGAGACGACCAATACATCGACCAGAACGTCCAATAGGAGCTTTTGAGTACTCTAAGCTCATACGCGAATGCAAGGTCGATGCAGAACGGGTAGACTAGGGTTGACAGCGGAGCCCAATGGCCCTGCAGGATGGCGTCGCCAGTCTGCTTCGCGTGGACACGGTACATTGGCCGATCTAGTGCAAGAGCCGCTGATTGAGTGCCCAATAAGAGGTCTCGTACGGTCGTTTGGCAGCGGTCTTGCTAAATGTTCAGCTGCTGCCATCGTATCGCCCGCTCAGTACCGATACACTATGCCTCTCTCTGGTAGTGGGGTTATATCCGCTGGCCCACTGCGCACAGCAAGGCTTTCGCGGGGAGCGGGCGTGTCGATATCGTCTTCTGGCTCTGGGCTCGAAAGGACGATGTATGCAGATGGGGCCGCTCGTTCTGTCACAGTGCCGGTTCTCGATTTCTTCGCACTACCGCGCTCTTTAGGTCCAGACTGCATCCTTTTGTGACGCGGTCTTATTGTGTTGACCTTCGGCTTCAGAATATATATCTCCTGGTCTGGTTTATCGCGAGTCCGGTAGAAGTCATGACTTCCAGGAAAGCTTCCGCCCCAATCAAGCGATTTATGCTCAATTCTCGTACCAAGAACTTGCGAATGTCAGTTCGCAACATGGAATACCTCAGAGACAGAATATACTGACCGTACGAATCTTCCCTGGGCTTCTTCACCAAATCCACTCGTATTGGCTGTCTGCGCATCGGTGGTGGCTTTGGGCTCGGGGGCGCCGGCGGAGATGGCGGAGCCATTGGAACCGATAGAGGCGAGCTTATACTTGGTGGTTGATAGAGAGAGCCGTTATCTCCCATTTCGTCGTCATCGCTGACATGGGGAGGTTGATAGTTGCTTTGCGGTCGCACTGGCTCTGCAGCATTAGAGCCTAAACTAGTCTCAACCGAAGCTGAATGTGTTAGCTAAACTCTCTCTGAATATCGTGGAGATGGAACCGAATGACTTACGTAATACATTGTTAGCATCTGCTCCAAGAATCTGTACAGCAACATTGTCTTTCTCAAGAGGCTTTGCAGGTCTCGGTAGTGGAGCAATGAAGGCCCCCTCAATGTCTCTTGACACGGAAGGAACGTATCTAAAGCTGGGATTGAGGCCTGTAAATGTGACTCCGTCGCTAACAGCTTGCGATGAAATGTCGGGACACGAGCAAAGCCGATCTGTTTGCGGTTAGCTTGGCAATGGCAGCCTTTGTCCTTAGGATACTTGCCGCTATGGTATATTAAGGCGCCGGCTGTCCTCGGTATACGGCCAGGCGCGCGTTCAATCCGATGCAAGACAACTCTGATCGTGTTGTACTTGTGCCTATGTGAGTCTATAGATTCCCACGTGACAACGAGTTCGCCTTTCTTCTCCGTGGGGGCACATTCAACCGATCGAGGCATCTGCAATAAGCGGCTTCTGGCCATGCTCTTTAGCCAGCGCTCATCAGCAATGACTTGTGGATGTTCCCCATTCGCCATGAGCTGAGAGATCATGATATCCCATAGTTGTAGGACTGCATGGTCGCATGAAAATAGCTCCCCGCCTGAACTTTGGTCTTCTTCGCAGAAGGCTTGATCATGTGCTCCCTCCCAAGTAAGCCACTTGTTGTGAACCTTCCACGTACCCGCAAAGAATCCGGCATCGATATTCAAGTGCTCGCCTTTCACGAAGCTGAGATTCATAGCCTGCGTTGCTGGACAAGACCGCAGCAGACATTCCAACATGTGCCGCATGTGTAACGCGAAGTGATTGTGGGTCCATCTAGAATATTTAACAAGTTCTGCGGACTTGAATCGGTGTAGCAGCTCATCTTTCGGCGTTCTGCAAAGGAAATACTTGCGCAAGATCCTCCATAACTCAGGGTCGATCGGTACGGGATTTTGGCGCAAACTCTTTTCAATGATATGAACCTGCTAAGATGCAAGAATTAGTCGAGAGCATTCCAGTACATATCTTCAACTCACGTCTTTCCCCTCAGCAGCCGAATAGTAGAAGGCTGCCCGACCTTCCCCATCCGTATTGAGCGTCTTCATCTTCGCCCAGACCTGCCTGGCAATATCGCCTGGCATGAGCTCATCCTCTCCATCGTCGATATGCAGCATTACATCGCCCATCTTATTGATGGAACTCAGAAGCAGTTCGGTGTAGTCTGATACGAGTTCTGAGTCAGTCGACTGGTCTGTTCGTATCGCAGCTGTCCAGATGGCAGATATTCCTTCACTCTCTTCTCCTCCGCCCGTGAGCGCATCGCGGTCAGAGCTAGTACTTCCTTCAACGAAGTTATAGCCGTATTTGTAGTTGTTCCCCCTAGTACCCCCGCGCGGTAAGAGAAGACCACGCAGGTACATGTGTCCTCGATATTTGGGGTCGCGGATGAGATCGCCATGACTGGTGTGGATGATGTTCTGGGGTGGGTCGATGTCGAGCGTGACGGTAATCCACCTCTTGAAATCGGTAATCGCGAGTCGTTCACCTGGTTTCCTACGTCCATAGATATCCCGCGTAGGTCCTGGAGCGCCAAC